TTAGACGTAAAGACGAAATCTCATCTGTAAGGCAAAGATGCTTTTTAAAGTGACTTCTTTCATCATTGGAGTTTGGCAATCATACTTATATTGGGCATATAGCTTTGGTGAACTCCTCATGTGAAATGCAGTGGCAAGGAGCCAGGTGACAATTTCGAGGGGTTCCTAGATAATGAGTTATTTTTCATTTTTAAGGGGACGGGGTAAGCAAAAGTATTGAAAACATAATTTTTTATTTTGCATTATTTGAAATCTACGGCATTTTCTGAACCAGGATTAGTCATTTGTTTGTCTCAGTATGTTTTTTTTCCCTCTCAAAAGATGACATATTTCAAAACTTTTGTGGTGGCCTGCCGTGCCCTCATTCCTACGTAGCAAGGGATTCTTTGCAGTTCAAGCATCATAGCCATATGAAGAAATTTCAGTTCGCAAAAATGGGAGGGTGTATTAACCTGCGTCAACGAGAAATGCAAGCCTCACTAGAGTGCATTTAACTACATGCAGCTGTCCATTGATGTCCAGCGTGGTGTGCCTACGACACAGCAAGAAGTGACACCAGTGTGTGCAATACTATGTTACTTGTGCCAAGATTTAGAAGTGGATAAAACATATAGCGAACAAGTTGCACTTATAAACCTATACAGTTGTATATAGAAATGATGAGTGTATAATTTATGTTTGACTAGTGACCTTGTGTTGGTGCAAAAGTACCTGTCCTTCATATTATAGCAACTGATCCTTTTCCTAATGACAGTCTTCTACCCACTTTTTCTATGTAAATGGCCCATCACATGTGAAGGGCTGGGAGAGTGGCACCAATCTTCTGCTGCGCCATCCTGCTCCATACAGAATTTTTGTGCTGAAACTGCTTCCAAGTGGTCTTTGGTACCTTCATGTGGCACTCTCATTCGCTGTGTGACATGCCCATGCGAGCTCCTATTATCGTGATTACCTGTTGCATTCTCTATTACATTGACAACACATTAAAAAAAATCAGTTTCGCTGCAGGGATGAAGCAGTGAATGTGATAGCAAGAAATTATAATGTTATATAAAGTAAGGCTAGCAGCAGATTCGTTTGGATCTGGTCTGCATAGCGTTTACAAAACGCTGGTGTAGAATAATGTGACCATTGCAGAGAGTGAAACAGTATTCGGGCTGTCTGTCGTCTCAATGCAATGTAAGCAGGCCCTTTGCTGATATTAGTCGAGATAGAGGGCTTCAGTGCTAGCGACCACAACTTAGTGATCATAGTTGCATTCGCTGCTCGAACGATGCAGCACCCCCCCCCCCCCCCCCCCGGCTCTCTTCATGCTTCTACACCCAACAAAATACAGGTGGAGTAAGGTCCTCTCTGTCTGAGGAGCAGCCCGATTATTTTAGTATTTCTAATACCCTTTTGCATGCAACGGGAACAAAGAGTTTATTCTGGAATTAAGTTGGCCGCTAGCAATAATGCTGGAATCCTTGACGCCGCATCTACAGAGGGGTTCACTGTTAAAGGGAACACTGGAGCGCATGCCGTCTGCTCGGTGCCACTGCCGGCCGGCAGCGGCAACTATTTTCGTGTAGGAGCAGTGAGCACAGTGGGCGGCGCTCGTTCTTCGTCTGCTACAGTTGCGAGTGAGCTTCAGATCGTCGCAAAGCGTGACTGTGGTCGCGGAATCTTCGAATAGTCGTTTTCTATCGAGCTAGAATAAATATGTCTGGAATGATCTCTAATCAGATAGCTATCCCCTGGCCCATCAGTCGTATTTCCGTCTTTCGTTTTCCTTCTCATTAGATAAGGAATTGCCCGCTTCGAAAAAGCATTCTGTCGACGCCAGTTAAAGGCGCTTGTAAATTCTTTCTTTAGCTTACGCACTGCAGCAGACTAAATCTGCATGGGTGCACATGAAACACGCGTTCCAAATACGCGATGGTATGCGGAGTTTAATGTCCCAAAACCACCATACCACCGTAGTGCAGGTTTCCGGAACTTTTGACCACCTGGGGTTTTTAAATGTGCACTCGAATCTTGGAACATGGGCCTACAGCATTTTAGCCTCCATAGAAAATGCAGCCGCCGCAGCCGAGATTCGATCCTGCTACCTTCGGGTCAGCAGCCAAGTACCTTCACCGCTAGACCACCGAGGCGGAGCCTTACTCCACAAGGAAAAGATTTTTTATAAAGCTATGCTAGAAAAAAGACGGCCGTAAACAAGCCATGCTTCTTTAACCACCAAAAATATCCCCTTGAGACATGTATAATGGTGCTATTGTCAGAAGCGCAATAAATCTGCGGGGCGTAATTTCTAGGCACTCATTATTACATTCCAAGAAAGAAAATGAATGAATCTTGTCTTGTGCGAGTTTCACCGATTGAAGTTGATGAGTGTGGAGCGACTTTGAGCGTATCTTCAGCGACTTTGAGCGTATCTATCTATCTAGCCACTTATATTTGGGTGCTCTCGTGGTAACCCCCTTAACTTGGCGAGAATAAAAATTAGTATGGGAGGGTAAGATGGTTTGATGAATATGACGCACTAGTCAAGACATGAATAATGTCACAATCCCCTCGTGTACATCGTCAAACACTTCTCGCCAGACAGTGGTACATACCCATGGGCGAGTATGTGTCGCTAGTATGCGGGTATGTGCCACAGGTGATTAACACTTAGTATCTACCCAGGAACAACGAGAACACACATGGGCAATATTAACGCGCAAGCGTTAAATACCCGACATCGGAAGCGTCGACCCGATGAATGCAAAGAATAAATGTCAGGGTCCCAGCTGGAATCAATCTCCGAACTACTTTTAATATGGACTCTAATCTTTGTGAAACGTCGATAGGGGTTGCAGTGCTGCCTACCCAATTTTATAAACACTACTATGTACTCCTTTGATACAGCCATCACGTTGGGTTAGCGTGAATTGTGGTTAGTTGCCATGCGCTGAAGCTGATTTATGTAGCAGTGTCCAGGACCAGCATCCTCGCAAGCATCAACGCTACATACCAGGTTCTGGTGTTTCTAATACGCATGTTCCAGTTGTATTGTTGCGCTAGTGCAAACAACTGGTTGTGTAACCATCTGCAACTCTTCAACTTATCTCTGTGCGCGCAACATTTGTACCTATATGTAGCGTCATTTTATGACGTGTCACTCAATAAAAAAAAATTGCAACACGGGAACCTTCAATCCGCATGCTTCGCATAACGACGATTCCCTGGAACGTGGGATCTGCCGAATTAGTTTTTTCTTGTAGCTTGACTTTTCATACCGTTAGCTCAAGTTTACCCAATAAAACGCTTTTGTGTGTACCAGCTTGTGTTCCACGTACTTCACCGTCATGGCTACATGGCAAGATTAGCACAGGTGGAGTGTTGCACGAATGGGTGAACTTTCCCTTGTTGCCTAAGCAGACAATACAGGCCCATCATTGGACAGCTTAATGTGGCTAAATGCACTCTAGTAGGGTTCAGATTTCTCACTGGCTGTGGGCACTACTCTCTCTAGTAAAGCATTTGAATATGCGTGAACAAAGATGATTATATTTTGTAGATGTTTTGAGGCAAACCTCACGTCTATGTAGATTGTACTTGCCACAAGGACGGATTCCTTGCGAAGACAAAACATGTGCAAGCACAGAGACCGGCATAACAGAACTTCGAAAATTCTATTTTGCAACTTCAAATAAAGAGTGATTTGCTAAACATTTCTTCGTAAGTTGACGACTAATGTTGCTAGTAAACATGCTGTTTAACATATTTTCACTAGGATCACTACAGTATGAAATTTAGACTAATCTTGTGCAAAAATGAACTTTTTCGCAACTTTGTTGCCAGCAATAGACACCATTTCTTGCTTGTGTTATCTGAGCGCACTGCTCTTGGAACACGCAGACACCGTCACACTGTCGAACAACACGCCTCGAACAATCTGCTTTTACAGCGGCAAGCTCGCCAGCCGAACCTTATACATCAATAGTAATACGCTATATAATATGATACGTAATGCTAATACAGCACACAGAAAGCATGACTCAGCGCCACCTCTTGCTTCGTGGCATTTTATCTAATGCAGTGGATGCTTGTGCACCATGAGGCAAAAATGACTTTCCAGGGGTTATAGTACCCCCACATGTTTTATACATTGCAAACTATATTTGTACGTACAGTAAGAGTTACAGAATATTCTGTAATACAAAATATTCCATTTAAGTAAAAGTTTCCTGAAAGAAAAAATGCAATGTGGATTGTATTAATTATCCCTCTTTAAGGTAGGATAAAAAAAACCTGTGAAAGCATAAAAGTGCATGAAACTTCATTCAAGTGAAATGCATGTAGTTGTACGGTAGAGGGAATTTTGTCTTAACAGTCCTAATTGAGAAATAACACATTTTTAAGCAACCCAGTATATGAGCCATAGGTTTTAGCTTTTTAAAAAGTGTCTCATATGGCTTCATACGTGTAAAAAATGTTTTCGCAAAAATTACTTTACCAACAGAGTTCTTGCTTTAAATAAATAGTCTGCAATTTTCACAATTAAATTGAAAATGGCTGAGGGCTGAGGTTGGGAAAGCTGGCATAGAGTGACCCTTATAGTAACAAGCTATCTTTGCAACATTGATATAGACTAAATTCTGGGTTATTGCTTGGCAACACCAAGATACTACTATTAGGCATTTGGCAAAGCCAGTCTGAGATGTATTTATGGTCTGCAAAGTTAAATGTATATTATTGTCTCTAAATAAGCAAGAATTTTGCTCATGTATAGCTTTATAGAGCTGCTACAGTGTCCATATCTACTGTTTTAAAATGTGCAATTCTGTCTCCGAATCTGTCGCAGTGCATTAAGTTTCCTGCTCCAAAACACGTCCTTCGTTGCCTTTGTCATTGGCACTTTCATTGCCATAACTGCTGCATGATGTATTCTATGCTGAATTCTCACCGCCATTGTCTCATTCCATCCTTTCTTTTAATTTGAATATGAGTGGTAATAATTCTTTTTTTTGTAGGAAAATCAGGAAGCCACTGAAAAGATGAAAAGTTTGAAGGATCGCCTTGATGACCAGTACAGTCAGTTTCTTGCTGACAACCGTGAAAGCAAGCCACTCTTCCTGAACAAGAGTAAGTTGTGTCTTACTGTATTTTGCGCTATGGTCTCAGTAATACTGCATACTCAGGAACAACATGATGCACTCGGTGTTTGTGTTTCGTCGTTAAAGAATGCAGCCAAGAGAACTGATTCTGTGTTCATTTCCTGTATTACTGGAAATTCTAAAGCATGCATTGAAATAATATATGAGCTATTATGCCTTGATCTCATGAGAGAATTATAGTACAGAACTTAGAGTTATGCATCTAACAGGGAAGGCCCTGGAAAAAAAAGATTTTGCAGTCACCACTGCTCTGTGTTTGCTAACTTTTGTAGAAACCTCGCAGTTTACTTGACATATCTTTCAATGTAACACTTTGTAAATGTGAACTTCATTGCTTTGTGAAAAAACCGTTTGCTACAAGGCACATGCTAGCATGCACGCTTTTGTGTCGTCGCTTCGTGGCAACTGTGTAATGCAACCACTCAGTGATGGTTTCTGTGTAAACAAAACCTTAGTGGTTGTTTCATGCAGTTTTAGGGGATTGATTTTTTGTTGAGGGGCTGTTGAAAGGTTTTAAAGATCCTAGCATTATGAAAAAGGTCCAGGATACATGTATTAGTGCTCCATCTACATTCTATAATGGTCTATCATTCTAGTTTGTGCTCGTTGCATCCTGTACTCTGTTTTTCATACTATTTTTACAAAGTGCACTTTGGAGAATAATCAACGCCAATTAGCCCGCCTTATAGCTCTTATAAAGGTTAGTGTTAGAGGATTCCTGATGTATTTAATGCTTCTTGATAATATTTAGGTAACGCTTTCAGCGTCATGCAAAGATGAATTTATAATTTGATGGCCTTAACAGTTCCATTTATGTCAGAAGCTACGTTTTTCATAACGCAAAGAAGTTTAAATTTAGGTGCTCATTTTTTTTGTTGGACACAATACCAATCAGAACAAGTAGACACTGATGACAAGGAAAGTATAGTGGATGTTATTTACAGTAACTGTAATTCAAATTTGAAGAAAGAAAAGTGGACAATACGATAACTTGCGGCCAGCAGCGACCGAACCTGTGGCCTTGAAATAACGTGTTGATGCTCTATAACTAGTGGGTGATTCCACGAGAGATCGAACATGCATGTCCGGATGATATTATTTGGGTATATTTGAGGTGCATGCAACTAAAAATTTAATTCCTAAAACCTGATCCCAGTGCTCCAAAAAAATGTTTGAAGATGGCAGCATGCGCATCTCGCTATTGCTTGCTGCAACATTTTTCATTTTGCAGGTAAATTAAATGTGCACTGTAAAGGAAGTGTTGAAATTTTTTTCTTATTTTAATACGCGTCACAGTGAATTTCATGAATGCTTTATTTAAGGTAGCGGTTCCACTGTCGCCATCTTGCCAGTAATCCCGAAAACGACACCACTAAGTCAGCAATAGAAGGAGAACACTTGGGAGGTCAAACACTCGAACTTAGCTGGCACACCCAGGAGGGGGGAAGCATGCTATCATGGTTAGGAGAAATGAGGTATTCAGCAGGGGCTTTTTTTCTTTCTCCCCTTCAACAAAACCTGTATCTCTCCCTCTAAAGTCTATACTCACTTGTCCGCATCCCCTGCAGCGCTGGGCTTTTCACGCAAGGAACAATGGCGCTGCAAACCACTCAAGTTTACTTTTGATTAGCAGGCTGTCGACCAGTGCTGCCTCATTGGCCAGCTGCTCTGCATGACACTTAGTGGCGGAATGTGCGACAGGCTGACAAACTCTCTCGCGGAAGCCACGTCTCAAACTATGAGACATCTTTCGGTGTACATGTGTAAATAATCCTCCGCTTTCACTTTTGCCTGCCTCATTCAATGCTGGCTACCCTTCATTTGAGATATTCTCTTGCCTACTACTTTGAATAGAATTCGGCAGTATTGACTAAATAAATAAATAAATAAATGTTCTTGAGCCAGACAGCGGTCATCATAAGAAATTACGTTTTCATTTTGATTCCGATCACTCTTTACCATGCCACTAACGATAATTGTCAGCTCAAAAAGGACACCTCAACTGGTACACAAACGGGGAAAAGGAAACAGGACGGAGCAAAGACCGAAGGGGGGAGGGGAATGCCCCACCCCCCTTGTACCACCTGAACTTGTGCTAGCGTGCCAAACTGGTTGAGAAGCAGGCGCGGAAAGGGTCGTGATTCGGTGAAACGAAGCATTGAGCGGGGGCTTTCTTTTTCTCCCTGTCGACGACAGCCCTCTGTCTCTCTCTGCTTCTCTAGAAACCCTCGCTCACTTGTCCCTGTCCTCTGCTTTGCACTGCTTTTGACGCTGCAAACCACTGACGTAGGCTGCCTGGCCAGCTACACTCCCAGACAAGCAGTGCTGCAATGGGAGGTTCAGTGACGAGCTATATCCCAGACGTTGCATCAGAAGCGAACCATGAGACATTACATCTTTACGTGAACATATGTAGATGATACCCTCAGGCACTGCCCTTTACTCTTACCTCGTTTACTGATGGCCGCTATTCAGTTGTAGTTTAGCTAGGCAGCAATCATCATATCAAACTGTGGATTTGCTTTTCTCTATTTAGCTAGTTGCTGCTACAGTCGAGCCCACATATAACGGCCTCACTTAAAACGAACTTTCGCTTAAAACGAACAATATTCGCGTGACCATGAAAATATACATTGGTTCAATGGCACAAAATCACACTTACAACGAACGCCTCTGAGCGCCGCTGATCGGTTGCAGACAGTGAACAGAGTCAGCGGTCTGCCGACTTCCCTGGTAACCGATTTTGACCACCGATCAGGTATGATCAGGCATCGGCGAGGTGCCCATACATTCTTATTGTTAAACGCCGACCCTGCTTCCGCGACCCTCAAGTTGCTGTGTTCCCCAACCCATGGAGGAAGGAAAGCTGTTTCCTTCCTCCATGCCTCGACTGCTTTTAGTTACGCACCCCTCCGTTCTTTGTCCCCCCGCATCGCCAGACGAGGCCCGTGTTTTCACACTGCTACCGATCTTTCGAAGACCAGTCGGCCATCTACCCTGTTTTTGATCGCTGGTACTGTCGTTGGCGTTCCCGGCATGGAGTGACCAGACCATTTGCCAACATCGTCTACCACCGACCGTGTCCGATAGTCTGCGTCTAGTGCACGCACGTACGCTACCTCACCGACTCTGATAATTTGCGATTCGTTTCGTGTTTAGGTCTTGTTCTCACTCAGTTCGCACTCAGCTCAGCGTGCCTTCCGCGCGCGTGCGGGAGCACGAAAACAGCTGGTAATTTACACGGAACGAATCGCGAAATATCGAAGTTCCTGAGGCCACGCAAACCAGCTGGCGCAACAAAACGATTTTTTGATCACGGCCGCCGATTCTTCGAACACCGCCGCGCGCATCAATCCAGGCGGCCATGCTTTGACTTCTGCACGTGCAGCCACTCTTTCCAAATTTTTCTACGTGCGAGTTTCGCAGACCTTTCGAGCAAGCTACCCAATTTGCCTCCTTCCCGTGTGTTTTGGTTTTTAAGGTCGCCCTCCCGCCGCATCTTCCCCTCTCTTTATCGCAACTCCTTGCCCTTCTCTCGCAAGTCTGCTCTCCTTTCTTGATCACCACCCCTTCGCCCGTCTCCATCACTCCGCGATGCCCGCCACGCTGGCTCGAATTAGTTTCGTTTTCTCACTGGAAACGGGCCCAGAGTTGTTCACGCCTTCTGGCATGTGTGTCGCGGGTGAACGTCTTGCTCGCTCGTAATGAGTGTGTGTGGTCATGATGGCCGACGGGAGGACCAGCACGCTTTTCCCTGCCACTCAACAAAATGTCAAAAGTGTGACCGCTTGGCTTGAGCGTAATCCGCGCGTTAGGTGCCGCGTTGCGGAGCGCTTGCTTCGGGGTACACAGAACGGATGTCAAGTCACTCTCAGGTTCGTTATAAGCGGGCTCGACTGTACCACCCTCTATCCCGTAACACACACTGACACAAGTGCTCTCTCCACTAAATGTTCATTTCTCTGGAGAAAGAAGCGAGGCTAATATCATGTAAATAGAATGTGATATTTAGTATTTATGAAGTAATCTACAGGTATTGTTATACGTCATTCAATTTATAGGGCATAAAAAGCTACTCTCTCTCTCTCTCTCTATATATATATATATATATATTCATACACACACACACACACAGTCGCGCCCGCTTATAACAAACCTAAGCGTGACTTCGCTGTATCTCGCAGTTCGTAGTAAATGAAACACAGCTTTTAAATAAAGTTGTGCGTGAAAACACAAAATTTTTATGCCCTCAAAAGTCCGTGATGCACGTGTTTCGAATAGCTAGCAGAAGCGATAAGGGCGGTTTCGAGTTCATTTAAAACGGCAGGGCGCTCGTTTGCCGAGGCCTGTGGCATAAGCTGCATGAGGCACTGACTCCAAAGTTTCATTGTTCTCGCAATCCGATTCCTCCAAATCGCTGTCGCCACGTACCTCATTCACAATGCCCTAATTGGTCCCTGGTTTCGCAGTGTCGGTATCATCATCGGCCGTAATTAAACCATCGCAACAGATGTCCCACCCGCTCTACCAGGTCGAAGTCGACGACGCGCTGCCACAAATCGCCGCCGCAGTGGTCTTGTTTGGAAGCTTCAGGCTCGGTATTGGGCCTGACGTCGACGAAGTCGGCCTCTCGAAAACAGTTTCGCGCGCATGTAGCCGTCACCGCCGCCCACGAAATATTCACCATCTCCACAGCTGCATACCGGGATGCCCGAAGCGGCAAGTTGGCTGTCACGTGGTCAACAGCTATGAGCAAGTGCTCCGCAACGCGGCACCTAACGCGCGGATTACGCTCAAGCCAAGCGGTCACACTTTCGACGTTTTGTTGAGCGGCAGGAAAAAGCGTGCTAGTCCTGTTGGCCACCATGAACACACACGGACACCAAGAGCGAGCAAGACCCGCACACGCAACACACATGCCCAAACACGTGGAACAGCTCTGGGCCCGTTTCCTGTCAGAAAACGAGA